CCGGTTGGAACGGGGCGAGAAACCCACCCCTGGTCTTAATATGGTAGTTAGTTTTTCCTGCAATCATACTCTATCTTTCAAAATAGAGTGTTATATAGATATAAATACAAATATATGAATGCAAATTAATACATTACTTTCCTTGCTGTAATTTTCCCTTTGAAGAATTATAGTTGGATTATAGTGGTAGACTGGAACAATTTAATGGGAGCAGAGTAATGTAGACTGTTTTAGCCATTAACCAGAAGCAATAGGAACTGCTTTTTAGACTGGCACCAGGAGCATGTCACCAACATCCTTAGCAAACTAGTATTAAAAAAACCACCCCAAGACCCTGCACTCTTTCTTACCCCCCCCTTTTTTTTACAAATAGCAGGAAACTATTTTTTTTTCTTAAGAGGACCCAAGGAAAGAAGAATCTTAATTTCATAACAGTATCTAAATATATCAATGTGAGTTGGTGGCAATCACAGATGGCTGTCAAAGTAAGGTCTCCCCAGGTCTATTTTTGCCATCTCTAGACAATCCAAAGACTCTGTTATTGGAAATTGATGACACATTTTTTTGCATGGGGGGGAGAAAGGTTTAAAGTCAGTATATTTATTCATTGCAAAGTCTAACAGATTTATTTATTTTTCATTAAAAGAAATACATTTCCCACTCTTGCCTCTGATAGGTTGCTTATTTCAATTTGCTCCATCCCTTGGGCTACAGTTCATGCCAGTTATATTATAGAGCAGTGATGGCGAGCCTTTTTGTCACCGAGTGCCCAAACGAGAACACACATGCATGCGTGCGCCGGAGTGCCAGAAACTCAAAGACCATCTGGCACATGCCTCTTTTTGCCGATTTTTGGGCCATTTAAAGGTTATTTTTAGGGCATTTTTCAGGCTGTTTTCTGAACTATTTTTGGGCTGTTTCCAAGCCGTTTTATGGTGCTCCAGTGCTTGCAAAGACCAGCTGGCCAGCATGCATGTGTGCGCCAGAAACCAGAAGAGCAGCTGGTGATGGTGCACGTGCCTACAGAAAGGGCTCTGTGTGTCACCTCTGGCATGTGTGCCATAGGTTTGCCATCATGATTATAGAGTATGAAAACTATGTTGGTTAAGGTAGAAGCCCATCACCCAGAAGAAAGCTATTACTCACACCTGAAGTAAGGCAAACCAAACCAAACTTTGAGGATTTCTCTTCGCGATTATATGTAAATTTCTAGGAAGAAGAAATGCTTGAATACTGCCTGAACTCTGTAATTCTATCTTCATTAAGGCTTCAATATTACATTTATTTCAAAGCAGGAATATTTTAACTGTATTTGTGGCCTTAACATAGGATTTCCCGTGTAAAGTATGAATTTATATATCCATTCTATTATCAGTCAAGGGATAGCACTGAGAGAAAAGCAATTGAACGTGAAGCTGAGCACAAAATGTCTTAAATTCTGAATAGATATACACAGTCCTGTGTTCTTTTGCTCCCTTAGCTTTAAAGGACATTTTATTGTAGCAATAAGTTTTGAATGTGAAAGAACTGACTGTGTTAGAACAAGAAAGGACATATCACAAAACTGTTTTGCTGTTTTGGATGATGTAGTCTCTCGAAATTGTTTGATATTTTCTCCCCTTGGAATAAACATATCATGATAATATGGTCAAGATATTATAATTAGCTACAAATACTGTATAACAGTTTAATAGTCACATGATGGCCACATTCATGAATTAATTTGAATCTCATATATGATAATACTGCTATATAGGTCTAGGAAGAAACCTTTCCTCTAAATTAAGCTAAATAAATCCTCTATGCAGTCTGTGCCATACATTTTCTTCTTCATGTGTTGAGATTTGTTGGGACTATCCATGTAGTATATAAAAAATGTATGCTGGCCTGATTCACAGAATATGTTAAGCCATACTGTGGTTTGCTTCATAGAAACATGCAGACTTAAAGTACCATAGAGAACATCTAATTCAACCATTTGTTCAGAGCCATGAGAGAATCTTTCCTTTTTTGTTTAGTGAGGTTGCAACTTTAACCCATTGGTTCTGGTCCTGCCCTAACTCTAACTAATTCTACTCTCTCTTTGTGTTACAATGGTCAGATAACTGAAGACCAGGATCTACCCTCAGCTAGACATTCTATAGTCTAAACAAAAATATATTAATTGGCACCCAGATGTTTTAGTTTTCAGAGTCACTGTTGTATTGGTAGTTCTCTTGCAAATTTGCTCCAATCTGAACTCTCCCCTCTGAACTGTGGTGGACATGGAATCTGCACCAGATGTTATGTTTTTGGACAAATGTATCCTCCAAAATATTTATTACCCTCCCAGTGTTGGCTGATCTACAAACTTTGAAAATGTACCTTTAATGCCTTCATCCAAGTTATTGGTAATCCAATGCTGAAAAGCATATGGCCAAAAACAGAGCTCCGCAGTACTCCATTTGATACTACCTCCAAGTTGAAGTTGAGTCATTCATGAACACTCTGGCTGCAATCCTTTTAGCCAATTGTGAAACTATCTAACAGCAACATTATCTAGCCCATATTTTTTAAAGAATATCATGAAATCCTCAGCTGAAATCTTTAATGAGATCCAGGTACACCACAACTCTGATCTAATAATCAAGTAACCCTATCAAAGAAGGAAACATGGTTAGCCTGAAATTATTCATTTGGCTTCCATGCTGGCTCCAGTTAATTTTAACCTGACTATCTAACAGCTTATTTGTGCAGATTTGAATAATTTGTCTAAGACTTTACCTAGTAGGTATATCAAGCCTGCAGACCTGCAGTTTCCTAGATCTACCTTTTTCCTTTTAAACATGGGGATAACATTTGTTCTTCACCTTTCTGGGTTCTCCCCAGTTTTCCAGGAGTTTTCAAAGAATGTCATTTCTGGAAATCACTTCTAGTCCTTTCAGCACTCTTAGATCTATGAAACCTTGGACTCTTGAATTCATTGAAAAAAATTGCATTCCTCTTACCATCTCCATCGCTAACCTAAGTGGCAATAACTCCTTTTCCCTCTCACATAACTATGATCACCTATGGCTTAGTTTCCCTTCCTAGAGAAGACAGGGAATAGAGGAGTAAAGAAACTAAGCTTTCCCATCATTGCATATTAGTGCTTTCTTCTCCCTATGGATCAACAGTCCTTTTGGCTTTCTTTTTATTTCTAATATATCCAATAATAACCATTTTTTTGTTGTTTTGGGGATTTGCTGAAAGCTTCAGCTCATTCTGACCGGTAGTTTTTCTGACTCAGTTTCAAGGAGACTATTTTCTATTCTTCTCTGTGTTCCATCTTTTTATTTCCTATTATGTCATCTTCTCTCTTCAACATTTTAGAGAGTTCTTCATGTATCCATGCTAGCCTCTTTTAATTTATCCTGTTTCTTCTGGAGATTGTGTTCATTGCATTTTCAGCATCTTTTCTGGATGCTTTTCTGTTAAGCATTTGTAGACCCTGCATACAACCTATCTTCTCTCTGAATTGATGAAATATCACATTCTAATTTTAGTGTGCAGGTCTGACTTTATCAGATACTCTCCTCCTGTGGATATTACCTACTCAAGAATAACTTGACAATTTTTCTTTGAGGTACCAGTCACAATCATTTCTTCAACCAATCCCTCACTGTTGACAAGAATAAAGTCCAGTGGATTAAGTTCTTCCACTTTCTGACAACTGATGTCAGCAAGAGAGGACAAGAATTTATAGGCCCTCTGACTCTTGATTTTCAGAAGATAACTGGATGTTTGGAAATCTCACATTATCAGTATTGCATTAGTCTTTTTGAAATACTAGTCATCTCATGCAGAAATAACTATCTGTTTTTTCTGTCTACTCAGGCAATCTATAATAAACTTCCACAATAGTATATCTTTTATTTCTTTCTCCTTTGATTCTTACTCCAATACTATGCAAGTATTTTCCTTTATACATAATGCTTCTGTCTTAATATGGTACATGAACCATATTTATTATTTAATCTATTATGTAAACCACCCAATTGAGATTAATGAAACATGGTAAAAAAAGAAAAGTCGTAGCTAATGAAATGTGTGAATCAGGTCACCATGTATTTGTAGATGATGCTATTCTGTTCTCATAAGGACGTAAATGGAATTTTCTTTTCCAACTTCAAATGTTCAAAGAGAACTATATTTCTAGCATAACCTTCTCCAATCTAACACTCTCAAGTTATAATTGTTTCTTTAGTTAGTGTTTCTGATATAAAAGCTTTAGAAAAATATAGTTTTTGTTACATTTAATTCCTCTCAGAGTTATAGAAGTTATTCAGATGATGGTCATCTTATATCGAGTATTTGAGAAAAAGGAAGCTATACGGATCTACAGGAAATAAACTCTCTCCCCTGTATTTCCTAGTTTAAAAGTTGAATTTTTCACACCATATTATATCAGAAATTTACTAATGGAATGCAGAATTCCCAGTTAGCATAGCCACGAGTCATATTAGCTGGGAACTGGAACATCATACTCATATAGCCCTGGAAAGAGACAAGCCAGAGAAGGCTGGCCCACATCATTAGTCTTACCATGTAGATTCCGGAAAACCCAAGGATTGTAAACATCAGACTTAACTTCTTGAATGATTCTCCTTATGTTTTGTCCATGTTCCAAAATACCTGTACTAAGTTTGTAATTTCTGCACAACATGATCTTCTGTACTTAGAAATCTTGCAATGCATAGCATAGTCACAGAAAAGGTATTTTAGTATTAAATGCCATTTTGATTTGAAAAGAAGCAAACAGAACATTTTATGTTCATTCTTTCTCTACAAACCATGCATAAAAGCAAACACATTATCCGGCAAGGATATTATTTGGGGAAGCATGGATGAAATGAGATCTAGACTCCTTCTTCTAAAAAGTCACCCTATGATTTTCCCTAAGATTAATAAACATTTTCAAGCACAAACATTAATCAAGGCAAACCACCTGAACAGAAGGCACAAGACACAATGCTTCTTACCATCAAAACCATCTTCCTCTGTTCCAAGTTCATCATCTGAGCAAATGTTCAGCACATTGACCAGCATCTCTGTTACTGTTAAGAAAATCAAGTGGAAGATGTGAGACAATATGAGACAAACTAAGATTCTCAATGTAGAATGGTTGGTTAAAGTCACTGCATAAAGTTACATCGGCAACCACACAGAGTTTAAAGCAAAATTTGTGTGAACATTCAGAGGACAAGGTCCAAATCCTTAGGCGATTAAGGAGAGATTACTCTACAGTTCAATGCTCAACGGAAGGGTTACTGCAAAAATACAATTCCTGTTTTAATAAATACACATTCATTCCTTCTTTTTTGTTGTCTGGCTTATTAATAGAGGGAAATTCATGTCTCCTTTTGCTTCTGTCCCAAAAATCTTGATTGGTCAGTTTAATTTGAAGCAATGTTTGTCAAGTTGTATTTTTCCCCCGTAAAGTTGTACTACTCACTCCTTTCTCTTGCCTTCTCTCTCATGCACTAGGAACAAAGCTGAGGTAACTTAGCATTTCAACTTACACAAAATAAAATATTTTAATTAAGTATCCATAAATATGTAAACAGGGAAAAAAGGCATTTTGGTCTACATGAACATGCTATGAAATTAGCAGACCTGAACTCTAGATGGCCATAAATGCAAGTTAATTGAATCCTTTAAGTGTTGCATATCGACAATCTTTCACTCTCATGGAAATGTGCTTATACTTCGTGATTTTACTGGACAGATAGGTAAGCCTAAAGGATATTTATAAAATTATTCCAACTTGGAATAATTGAAAGAGAAGCAAAAACAATTTCTTTAACCCATAAAAGAGACAATACTTATTTTTCCATAGCAACAAACTTAATTTGCTACTAAATGTATTTTCGGCAGGGAATTCAGCCAGTTACAGGATATAACTATATTATTATAATCAGATATTGGTCACCTTTCCATATCATATTTTTAGTTAGATTAAAGCAATACTAAACTGCACAACTTAAAAACTGCATGTGCAATAAAGATAATATTTTAGGACAAAGGTAAGTGAGAAATTGATAATTTTGTAATTAGCTTTATAGAGAAGTTTAAAAGTTTTAATCTTTTTATTGATTAAAATTGGTTTTGCAATAATTACAGTAAATTGAAAAGAAATAAACAAATAAATAAGGGATTTTTGGGGTGCATGGGTTAAATATTTAAAAAAGCCTAACGGGAAAATACTATGCAAGATAAAGTTTGGTAGATAAAGAACTTATTAACTTATAATTTTAAACCAATGAGTGATATTTTCATATGTGATAGCTTTTTGTGTCAGGAATATCAATCAGAATACAAATCAAAACTAGACCTTGATATATCTAGGATTTTACTATTCATTACACAATTTTTTTAATAAGATAAGATTTGATGGAAATTTGATACCCCAAAGTGCACAAGCAGAAGTTATTAGGAAAATTATAATGCTCAAAAGTCATACATTTGTGGAATTATGCAGAATACAGATAACCCTTGACTTATAAGCACAATTGAGCCCAAATTTCTATTGCTAAACAAGGCAGATGTTGTGAGTTTTGCCTCATTTTATGAATTTTCTTGCCACACTGTTAAGTGAATCATTGCAGTTGCTAAATTAGTAACATGGTTGTTAAGTGAATATGACTTCTCCATTTACTTTGCTTGTCAGAAAGCTGCAGAAGGTGATCACATCACCATGTGCCATAAATATGAGTCATTTGCCAAGCACCCAAATTCTGATTATTTCACCTTGGGAATCCTGCAGCAGTGTAAGTTTAAATAATAGTCATAAGTACATTTTCAGTGCAGTTGTAAATTGAAATAGTCACTAAAGAATGGTTGTAAGTCAAGGGCCATCTATATGGTAATAATATTCCAGTAATTCAAACAAACTAATTGAAATATAACAAAATGATAAAGCAGTGCAACTATATTAAAGAAAGGGGATAATTGATATACAGAAATATACATAGGCTGGGAAGTATAAAATGGAACTCTTGTACAACATGCTGTGGTAGTTTGCCTGCAAACCTTCATCTCATTATCACACAATATCCTTACCACAACTTCTGGTATCTGAAAAAAACAGTCTATTCATAGTAGGAATTTAGCATACTCATAACATGTATAAATGCAACAATTTATGACCACCATTGATAGGGCACAAAACCGTCTTCCTGGGAAATAAGTGATGCTATCAAATCTCTCAGTCAATATCCTTGAGGGCAAAGTGAAGACGTGCATGTATAATAACATTGTTTGGGGATGTGAATTATTTTTACATTTTTACATTTGTGTTTTATCCTTCTGCTAAAATCAGGGTAAAATGTTGTTGTAGGAGAAAAGTGAAACTTTAAATCTATTCTTTTATACATCAAGGTAAAAAAAAAAAATCTGGTCGACTTCACTGAAAGCTAACCCAGTATAAAGTTATATATAATAAGGTTGCAGATCTACAAGGAAGCTGGAAACAAAAAATAATGGGAAAATGAATTACATTTGTTTTCTTAAGAGGGTAGATAACCTTCATAGCTCAGGAATTAACTGATTTTAATTCCTGTACTTCACATAAACATCTCACACAAACACACATACCTCCAAATAGAACCAAAGTCATATAGTCCAGATTTTGATCTATAAAAGGAAATGGACTATATACTGCAATTAGCATAAATGATCCCAGTTTATTGGTTATATTCAGCCAACTGCTGTTGACTGGAACTCTGCCTTTAGCTTGATTTTACACAGCCTCAAAGGGCAAAATACAAATGTCAAATGGCCAAAATAAAATGGGCACTGCCCCCTCTCTTTTTCCTTTACATAAGCCCACTAAAGAAAGGAGAACCATCTTTTGATTTGCTTCCCAGTGTTTGATTTTTCTAGGCTATTGCTGACTTGCATGGTTAGGCCTTTAATCTTTTCAGTCTCTTGCCCTCCTGAAGTGAAACTCCCTTACATTTTATTTTTTTACTACAAAGCCCAATTTGAAAAATTTCCATTTATCTATTCTTGTGCCCACATACATCTGCCATATAATTGTTTCTCTATAGAAATCCAAACTTCTGTTGGAAAATTATCTAGGTAGAGATATAGACTAATACCTCTACCACCCACCTCGTAACAAGCATAGAAAAGCAACCTCATCTCACCTTTATCATTTGGTAACATCTGAAAAATTACTATGAAAAATTAAAACAGTAGAGAACATCTACAGTATAAGTGCCTGCCTAATTTCTCCTACCTACTTCCTTGTTTCCCAAATAGCCCTTTTAATTCACACCATCATAGTTTCACTACGACGCTCCTTAGCAAATTCATTGCACCTACTCTTAACATTGCTTCTTTTGTGAAGAAATTTCAGAAGGCCTTTTTTTTAGTTTAACTAAGAAGTTTACAAACCTTTCTTCACAAAAGAAGCTTTGTTAAGTGTAGATGAATGTCCAACTGAATTGGAGGATAAAAATTCTCATAATTGGAGTTGGATGTCAGCTGGGCAAATCCAGCTGAAATGACAGAGAGTTCTACTGATAAAGAGTTTTAGTGGACAATAAACATTGACAATTCCTGCTGCTGCTGCTACTACTAGCACTGTGGCAGTATCTGAGATCAATTTATGCTTAAGGATGTAGACAGAGTCTGCTGAAATAGAACTCAAATCAAGAGCTGAGGTGGCGCAGTGGTTAGGGTGCAGTACTGCAGGCCACTTCAGCTGACTGTTATCTGCAGTTCAGCGGTTCTAATCTCACCGG